ATTCCATCCTACCTAATACTGGTGAGAAAGGATGCTAAGAGCTATTTTGACCAGCTTCAGCTCTATCCCTCTCTAGCTGTCAGCTCAGAGAGCAGCACAAAAAAAGGAAGGGTTACCAAGCCCAACCCTTGCTCTCTCTAAGGGATACTTGGCCAAGAATAAACAAAAAGAAGGGTGGTCTGCCACAAGCAGTGACCATYCATCCTTACCAACAGGTTTGATAACCTCAGTGGAGAAAATCCTTTCATTTTTCATTAAAATTAGCCGGGTGCAGTGGTGCATGCCTGKAATTCCAGTGGCTTGGGGGGCTGAGATAGGAGAATCATAAAGTTAAAGCCAGTCTCAGCAATGGCAAGGYGCTAAGCAACTCAGTAAGACCTGTCTCTAAATAAAATACAAAATACAGGTGGGAATGGGGCTCAGTGGTTGAGTGCCCCTGAGTTCAATTCATGGTACAAAAAAAAAAAAAAAAAAGAATTATTTTCTTTTCCCCCTATAAGTTCTTACTGTACTGTGTTGATTGATTCATGGGATATATATGTGTGTATAATGTGTACATATGTACATATGCACATGTGGAGAGCAGAGACAGTGAATGGGAGAGCAATGTCAGAAATTGGGGTGCCTGATGACTTCATGGCTGTGGAATGCTTGATGCCTGGGAAAGTTTCTGTGTAAAGGTGCAGGATGCCTAGTTGCTATGGTAATGTCCTCCATAAGGACACTCCATGCTAGAGTCTTATCAGTCTAGACCTTGATCTCAGGCACACAGCTCCTGGGAATAAAGGAACTCTTTTGYTAGACAACCACAATGTTTCACCAGCTCTGCTGCTCCTGAACCTACCTGCATAGCAGTAACTTTAAACAACGAACTTTTTTGAGAGCTACACAAATCTCCTAACATTGCACATTGGGTCTGTTGTATGTAACTGAGGAATAAGCTACATAATGTTGCTAATTCTGTAACTTTCATGAATATAAAGAATAAATGCTTGCATAATCTTTAATCTGATTAATGAGACATATAAAATAAAGATTGCTGGCGTAATTCTTTAGACCTGCTTCTCCATCAGAGAGCGGCGCTCCACCAGATCCCAGCTGTTCATCTTCAAGATCTGYGTATGTGAGTCTTTATTCTTCCAATCTCCCATCACTCCTCTTCATAATCTGCTAGTTAGGCTGTGCAGATTGTGGCATACACACAAACACATATACATATACACACACATAATTAATTCTCTTGTTCTCTGTTTATTTTGCTTCATCTTTTTATGTCGTTCTCTGCTTACTTTATAGACATCACTGGCTACATCTCTTATGTTTTCTCTCTGTTAACATTTTAAACATTCTAAACTTCCTTTATATATATATATATTATTTTTTAGTTGTAGTTGGACATAACACCTTTATTTCACTTATTTATTTTTATGTGGTGCTGAGGATAAAACCCAGGGTCTCACACGTGGGAGGTGAGCACTTTACCACTGAGACACAACTCCAGCCCCTCTAAACTTCCTTTTACCTTTCTACCACATTCTCTTTTCTCCTAATGAACTGTACTTTTACCATCTTTTAGAAATATTTGGTACATATAATTACTGCCCCACCATTCATGTTGCAGTTATCAATACTGTAGATGGTGTAGTTGACAGCTGCTATTTACCTTAATGCCAGGTATTACCTTAATACTCAGTACCAAAAAATAATGACCATGTATTATTGTTGCTATTATCAATTGCTGCTCCTGCCATTCCTGTTTCCAGGGTAATGTTGTAGTTGTYGTTGTAGGCACTGGATATTTACTTTAATGTTTTATATTGTTCACTGTTGTTGYTGCTGCTGTGGTTTGCTTCTTTTTCTGAGAGATTCTGGGATCTACTGGGGCACTATGAGTTCACAGGGTAGAGACTACTGCTGAGCTGTACCCAAWACCCAGCCAAGAGAGAGTGTGCCTTGTTCCACATACAAACTACCCATGATCAAACTTCAGTAACATTTTAATACAAAGAATAGGGGAGGCAAAAACCTCAAACCAATGATCAGGACCCAAGTATGAATGGCTAGGTTGGCCCTCAGGTCACACTCATAGAYATCCACTCCTATAGCATAACAGAGAAGTAAAAAACACTATGGACTTACAATGGTGTTGGGGGTCTCAATCCAGAATGCTCCCTAACCCTTTAGAATATGCAGAGTTGTTAAATGTAGAAGAGCAATCAAAGAGGTTGTACCCTACATACTCTATTGGATACAACTACCTAATCTACAAAAGATCCACACTAGTGAAACCTACAGGGTAAGAATGATTATCA